CATGGCTGTGCACGCACACACACACACACACACACACACACACAAACACACACGCATGGCTGTGCACACACACACACACACACACACACACACACGCACACAGTCAAGTGCATCCTGGGAGACTGTCAGCAGTATCATGGCGTCAACCTCCTGATGAGTCAGTGAAAGTTCGACGAAACAGTCTGTTCGGCACAGTCATGCTTTTTTGTGGATTGCGTATAGCGAAGATGAAAACACACAGGCACACACAGGCACACACAGACATACACAGAGGGGTCGAAATTTTGGTAGCAAAAGATATAAACCTGTGTATTGGTAGGGTGTGTTTCTCGGACGTCCAGACTCCAGAGTAGGCTTGCAGTTCAGTAGGCTTAGGGGAATAGCGGACCTAGGTACTGGGCTGTACCCGGACAGGATTAAGATCAGATACTTCTTATACCAGGGTAGTTTGCAAACTGAGCTGGAATTCATCATTTTCCTGCCAAAAGTGTGTAGGAAAACCAAGAGGAAGGTAGTGGGCTGTACCTGGACTGGATTAAGATCAGGTACTTCTTATACCAGAGGAAGTTTTCAAACTGCACCAGAAGTCATTTTCCTGCCAAAAGTGCGTAGGAGAACCAAGAGGTATCTGATTTTTTTTTATGTCTCTCAAGCCAAAGCAATAAGAGAACTCGTTGTACTGGTTGATGCGTATGCTTACTCTGGAGTATAGTTGCAGCCATTATGCTGTCCCACATAATGCTGGAGCTCTGTGATTTTTGGGACTGCCTGAAAATGTCCCTTGGGACTCCCTTGGGACATCCGTCAAAATCGGAATGGTACAGATTCCAGAGAAGACTAATTAGTAATTAGCATGGCCCCTGCACAAGGAGGACACGCATAAATTGAGAAATGCAGTGCCAAAAATTTTGGCAGCAAGGAGAGAAGAACCTCCTGGATATGGAGGTGGAGGTTGTAGTTATGGCCGAGCTTTTGCTACTGTCTTTGCCCAGACACAACGCGCTCTCATCATGATGGTATCAAACCGGAAACATAGGTCACATACATTCATGATCCGGGTGTGTTGTTTTGGGGGGAAGAGAGTAGTTATTGCACTTGGCTACCCCCATGTCCAAAATCTGCAGGCGCACTCAGGGCAACGAACTGGCAAAGCTGTGTTCCTACATCAGAGGAGAAACGCTGCTTTATGCTAAATTTAATAATTTATAGCTTTCATTTTCTTTTCCTTTTTCTTTCCTTCCTCCCCCCTCGCCCCCCCCTCTCCCCCCTTTCCTCTCTCCTTTCGTTTCTTTTTTTTTTTCCGTAAAGAGCGGCAGCCTTTTGATATCATCGTGGAACTGACCGGCCCCTGGTAATTCAGGCATTTCGTTCATCTGGCTCCATTCTGGTTTCGAACTCACGTCTGCATTTCAACAGTTTATGCGTGTACCAACTGAGTTTTTTGTCTAAGTAGTAAGTAGGTGAAAAACATCAACGACGGCAGGAAAAGCAGCAGCAAAAATAACAAGGAGTTCACTCACTCATCACTAATGGTCTCTTCTGCTGTGACCACAACTGGCTTGCTTTTCGCTGACGTCTTCACAAGCTGGAACCTGGACCCATCGAACGCAGCGAATACACCAGAGTGAGTAACGAACCTGGTCAATGCGCATAGTCAGAAGTGAACAGCTGAACAAAGTAACCCCCGTGCAACCCCCCCCCCCCCACCCCCCACCCCAACAAAAAAGAAACCTGAATAACAAGAGGCACCGCACCTTTTTGTGAGCTGTGGCCATGCTCTTTCTCATGTGTTCGCCCATTCCCTTTTCAACCCCCTCACCCCCTCTTCACCCCCTCTTCAGCCCCCTTCCCTCCCCCTCTTCCCCTCTCCCCCTCCTCCCATCGTCCCACTGAAGTTCTGCTGTGCAATCGATGCGTGGAAGCAGGGGGTTGTGGAAAGCTGATAACGAAAAGCATCAATATAGAAGAACTGGTATCGACTTGGGAGGGGGATATGTTCAGCGACATTTCCGGACGAGAATCCTGGGGAGAGGCTGCTGGAATTCTGGACGAACCTGGACAGCAGGAGGGGATAAGGAGGAAAGAGGGGTGCTGGAGGGAATAATAACAAAGATGATTGAGGTCAGGAACCGGAAGAATGCCACTGCTGACAAACAGCTGGAAAATGTGCTGGATTACAACCGGGTCGACAGTCCTGAAATCATAACAAATACACAGTGGTATAAAGGAATTTCACCAAAACGACAGATCCTCAACAACGGCACAAAGAACCAGACGACCCAAACTACTAAGGATAGACTCCAGAATTCAGTGTCAGATTTAGATGATAAACGACAGCAAAACAATAGCGTCAGTTGGTAAACGATAGCAACACAACCAAGAAGCAGAACCCAACTGACGGATATGAAGCTACCGTCTTCACCCGAATAGAACGCCCGGTCATTTTGAGTGTATCTGGACTGGGAGTTATGCCAAATACAGCTATAATGACAGGGCGTTGTATTCGGGTGAAGACGGTAGGATCCTAGGACTAAATCAAATCACAATATCGGCACATCGAACTCAAAGGAGGGGACTGACAGCACATCCACCAATAACTTACAGAATCACGGGTACGTTCAAGTTCTGGGCGAATTGGTACGAAACAGAAGAGTTTTTTTTTTTTTTTTTTCCCTCGATTTATGCGTGTCAGCCTTGAAAGCGAAGGGGTCATGCGAATCTTCTCTGTATCGTTCCAATTTTAACGGATGTCCCGAAGAACACGAAACAGAAGAGTTAAGTCCTTCGAAGAAAAGGAATTAGCCCCCTCAAGGAAAAGATAAAATTATTAATCCCCCCCAACAGCAACAGGAGACGAGGAAAAACCTAGGGTTTAGGGTTTAAGAGAAGGCAAGAGGCAGGAACAACAGGACCAGCAAGTTATAGAGTATCTGCCACCTGCATGGGTCCTGTGGACCATCTCACGCCAAAGTGTATAGATCATGCAACTTCGTCACTCTCAAAGAACTGTAGCCATCACACTTAGACAAGGGTAGGAGAGAAGAATGSTGCATGACGCAGCTTWTATTATCAAAATTATGTTTACAAAGAGTGCCAATGTTCCCTGAACTCAGGCGCACTCCCAGCTCATCACATATTCAGTCCCCAACGCATCAAGACAGCATGTACACTACAGCGCTGCCTCTGGAGATCACGTCTCAGTCCAGGTAAGTATCCTCCATAGCCCAAAGCTCTTGARCACCTTCTGATGTAGTTCCTTCCTCCCTCGTATGCATGAACACTCTCTCTTCTCTCTCAAGGACCTACTCTGAATGCATCTCACGGGTCTTCCTCTTCTAGTCTGTGCTAGGCAGCTATGGCTGCTCCTACTACTAACATCCTGGCCAGGCAGCTATGGCTGCATCATCCTGCACCAGCGCCCAGCCTCTGCCTTCAGCGCCACTTCYAGCTCCAGCGCATCCTCCTCCTCCCACCAAATAGCGCACAAGTGGCCAGCACTTCCACGCCAGTGAGGAATCTGCCACAAATGAGGCGAGCAGCCTCCTTTATAGTGCTGGATTCCACGTTCAGCATCTGAATTGGCACTTCGGCCCTGTCCCAGGCCCTGCATTGCATGTGTCCCAGTGATATCTCTTATACACATCTAGATGTGTATAAGAGACAGCTTTGAATGTTGATCTGCTTTTCACGTTTCTGGATTCTGGCGAGATACCCCTTCACGCTGCTTTACTTTTATGGGGTCTGACTCGGGTAAAGGCCCTTTTACTCTCGCCGGCCTAATTTCGAAGTCCTYTGAGAATACATTTATCTATCAATGATATTGATCCCTCTTTTCCCTCTMTCAWAGRMAGAYACAWTATGAGGTGCAGARKCCAGCAACTCTTCCCTTGTAAACCAGCGATCTTCACTAGGATCCTGGTATGCAAACCTCACCTTGTATTGACGCTGCGGTCTGCCTCTACGACCAGTGTGATAAGTACTTTTAGCAACAATCTGATCCACGTCATACTTCCCATCCATACTTGGCGGTATCATAGACCTGCGGGTAGGGAATAGCTCATTCGTTATACWCGGTAAGAGCTTAGACGCGTGGAACACTGGATACGTATGTAGATGTAAAGGAATCTCAATTACATWCGAAGGACCATCCACATCACCAATCACATCTAGGWCCTGCCAAGGCCCTCTGTAGGCGGGTAGAAGTTTCTGAGAAATATTCTCCTCTGGAGCAAATTCCTTAGACTTCACCCAAACCAAGTCTCCTACAGCAAACTGTGAGGGTCGTCTGTGMTTATTAGCTTGCTCAATCATCTGATGYTGTGCTTTCATAATATTCTCCTTTACCTTYTCGATGTCTTTTTGATACTGAATCGCAAATTCACTTGTCCCTRGGGGTAATTTATGTRCTTGATCGGGATTCAGACGATCGATGGGCCTACGTGGCCGCCATCCCAAATGTAACTCCATCGGAGTTTTACATGTAGACAAGTGCACAGAGTTATTRTARGCACTAGCAACTTTAGGCAAATGCTCATCCCARTCAATTTGGTCAGGACGAATATACATGCGCAACGTTTGCTGCAATATCTTGTTCATTTGCTCAGTCTGACCATTGGTCTCAGGATGCCTCCCTGACGACATTGTCAACTTAGAGCCATACAAGTTCATTAGTTGCTGCCACTGTTCATTGGTGAACCGTGTATCTCTGTCACTCACTATAGTTAAGGGATGTCCAAAATCTTTTACCCAATGGTTGAAAAACTCGCGAATTACCAGGTCAGTCTTTGCTTCAGAAGGCAAGGCAACAAAGACAGCATACTTAGTAAATCTGTCTACTATAACCATCACTTGCGTTTTCCCATTTCTACTCTTGACCTTAGTGTCCATAAAGTCGATAGACACAGAGTCTCCAGGTCCTGTTGGGATAGGCAAAGGCTTAAGCAATCCAAGGGGAGACTGAGTAGTGCTTTTGTTTCTTTGGCACACCTGACAACCTTGCACATATGCAATACAATCAGGTTTCATTCGAGGCCAGRTGTARGAACGCATCAAGTTCGCATARGTCTTTTTCCACCCAAAATGGCCTTCAGTGTCATGGCACTCCCCCAAAATCACACTTTTGATCTTTTCCATATTTGGAATGCATAGCCTATCATGCACATCTGTTCTTTCAAACAATAGACCTTRAGTAACCCGATAGTTAGGAAACTCTGCAGGCGCTTCTTGTACACGTTTAATCAATGCGCCATAGACCGGGTCATCGGGATACGCTTTTTTTATTCTCTCTTGTATATCAGCGCCTATATCTAAGTATGTTACAATAGCGCCGAAGAAGTCAGAACGACGACTTAATGCATCAGCAACAATGTTATACTTACCCTTGACTGGCTTCAACTCAAAATCATAAAGATCGATCTCAGCGGCCCACCTTGTCAACTTAGGTGTCATCCGGGTCTGAGTCTTGAGTCAGCGAAGTGTTTCATGGTCTGAATAGACCTTGAAATGTCTTCCTAAGAGATAGTGTCGCCAATGGTTCAAAGCTTCGCGGAGAGCAAACAACTCTCTTTCATACGTGGAAGCAGCGACCTTCTCATTAGGCAACCGACAAGACATGAACTCCACAGGTCTGTATCCATGCCCATCATCCTGTTGGAGTACAACACCTATGCCATATTGACTAGCGTCAGTGGTCAAAACGAATGGTAGTGATGGGTCAGCAACTTTCAAGACCGGGTAGTTGATCAGACTATGCTTTAGACGCTTAAATGAAGAGGTACAACTCGAATCCCACTTCCAGATTGTTTCTTTCTTGAGCAATCTGCGAAGGGGTGCAGCTATCGTGGTGAAATGTCTCACAAACTTACGATAGTAGTTGGCTAACCCGAGGAACGATCGCAACTCAGTCAAAGTGCGGGGGTTCGTCCAATCTCTGATTGCTGCTATCTTAGAGTCTTCCGGTTTGATCCCATCTCCATCAATCACATGTCCAAGATACAGTACTTGACGCTTAGCCCATTCACACTTCTTAGGGTTCAACTTCADATTTGCTTCAYGCAACTTATTAAGCACAAGTCGAAGGTGCTCGGCGTGTTCTTTCTCATTTTTACTAAAAATCAAAATATCGTCYAGGTAAATAACCACAAATTTGTCAAGCCAATCGCGAAATAGTTCATTCATAGATCTTTGGAAAGTTGCAGGGGCATTAGTTAGACCAAAGGGCATAACTATGAACTCATAGTGCCCATACCTTGTTCTAAAGGCAGTTTTATGTTGATCTTCCGGTTCTACCTCAATCTGATGGTAGCCGGATTTCAGATCAATCTTAGAAAACAATTTGCAACCCTGCACACGATCCAGCAAGTCATCTATTCTTGGCAATGGCGCAGCATTCTTTACTGTTATATCATTCAATCTTCTATAATCTATGCACATGCGAACGCCACCATCCTTCTTTGGAACAAACAGCACAGGCGCACCATAGGGAGAAGAGCTTGGTCTAATCCATCCTTTTTCTAGCAACTCATTGAGTTGGGTTCGCAATTCTTCTAATTCTTGTGGCAACATTTGATAGATGGGCCCTTTGGGAGGCGAA